CTCTAGTTTCAGTGTTTTCCTTGTCTGAAACTCATATACCAACAGAGCCACAGGAGTAAATAACACGGATGAAATTGAATTCTGTGAAGACTAGTCTTAGCCTACTGTGACAAACCTCTTAAAAAAACAAAACAACATCCCTCAATTACCAACAACCTCCATCCCACGTCTTATGTAGTTAGGCCAGTGTTTATAATGTTGCTAAAGTTATTTTGGAGAAGCGCTGAAATATTGGTTTCATTGGCCCATTGGTTTCAGACATGGAACCACTGCTTCCACCTAGTGGAAAACAGCAATAAAGAGTGTAGCACAGACCAGAGGTTGGATTTCTGCTTCTACTTCTACAATTCTACTTTTCTTGTATCTCTTTGTCCTTCCTTGATAACTTTTGGAAGCATTGGAGATGTTGAGGGAGACATGAACTCCCTCCATTCCAGGATTTTTGGTTTTTTTTAGATGAAATAAACATACTGGGGGAAACTGAAACTCATGCAATACATATGCAATTGCAATATTTATATAACCACAGGATTAAGAACTAGCAGAAAATTTGACATTCCACCACATGTTTAGGACACAGGATTCTTTAGCAGTGTTTCAACACATATGAGAGGATTGGGATCTCAAATTTGCTGTAACACAACAGAATTTCTATAGCAGTGCTAGAGAAACACAATGCAAAGACTGGAAACAGAAAGGACTACACACAACAAGAGACCTTTATAGTGGAATGAAGCCTCTTGCTGGAATACAAATAAAATGACATTAGGGTGACCTTGAAAGAATGGTTTAACAAACAATTCATCTTCTCTGCGAACACTGGCAATTGTAGCTCTGTGAGGGGAAACATGAGTCTCCTAACAACTCTTAACTCCTTGAACAAAATACAGACCCCAGGATTCTTTGGAGAAAGCCATGACAGCTCAAAGTGGCAGGATAGTTCTTTAAATGTTTGGTGTAGGTGGGGCTAAAGTTGGATACAACCCTCAGTTTTTAATGTTTTATCTGGTGCATTATATAAATGTTGCTTGAAGACTCTTGCTAAAAACTGGATATATATCAAACACACATCACATAGTGGGACTTACATACAGTCTACAAAATAGACCACAATATTTCCAAAACTACAGAACGAATGGAATTTCTATCAAAAGGCCTTTCAGCTGGACACTCAGATGCAACTCTAGAAGCAAGATAGAGATGCATCTTCCATCTTTCTTTTCATTTCCACTGAGCCCTTCAAAGAGCTCAAGGCAGGCTTTCTGTCAACAAAGAAAGGTGTTGTGTTTAAATATTACTCACTTAACCACTTCCTTTTATGTTTGTAGCTGATGTGCTAACCCTGCAGATGTTTTCTGGTGGTTTCTATACGTACATTAAAAAACAACAGAGCCGCGAACCAGGCCTCTCCTCTTCACAAACGATATACGGTAATCAGTAACAACATTTGAACAAAATCGGGATAAATGGTAGGAGCGATATACTTAAAACACTATACTTTTAAAGCACATTCAAAGTGTGTTTCCCTCTATAGAATTCTAGGCACTGCAGTTTACCTCTCACTGGGTTACAATTCCCAGCAACCAATGTGCCCAGAATCCTTTTTTTTGGGGGGGGGGTGGAATGTGCTTCAAAGGTACAGCTTAGTGTGTATGCAGCTAAGCCTCTGGCACAGCTCAGTCAGTTGACCATGAGACTCTTAATATCAGGGTCATGTGTTCAAGCTCCACGTTGGGCAAAAGATTCCTGCATTATAGGGAGATGGACTAGATGACTCTTGGTGTTCCCTTCCAAGTCTACAATTCTATGATTCTAAGAGTAGACCCACTGGTTTTAGTGGGTCTATTTAGAGCACAGCTAATGGTGGATATCATCTTAGGTCTCTCCAGTCTCCAATAACATGCTTCATAATACAGAAGAGTAGCAGTATTTGTGCAGGAAGATGACAGTTGCAATATCTAAAGACAATCAGCCATTTCGTGACAGGGGATTTGGGCGGAAACAGATTACTTCATCAGCTGCACTAAGAGGACGGATAAAGTACTAGGTAGAGATACCATGTGTGAGATACAGGGGTGACAGAATGAGGGTATCTTAAAAAAACCAAAACAACTATTAGAGCAACTCAGTTTACAGCAATTAAGGTATAATCTCTTTTCAGTCACTCCCCTCATAAAACTAAATTCAGGTATCTTCAACAGTCTTTCACCATAGGAAAGAAGTGATGGCCTCGGTCCAGTATACCTGAAGGAGCGTCTCCACCTCCATCGTTCTGCCCAGACACTGAGGTCCAGCGCCGAGGGCCTTCTGGCGGTTCCCTCGCTGCAAGAAGCCAAGTTACAGGGAACCAGGCAGAGGGCCTTCTCGGTAGTGGCGCCCACCCTGTGGAACGCCCTCCCACCAGTTGTCAAAGAGAAAAATAATTACCAAACTTTTAGAAGACATCTAAAGGCAGCCCTGTTTAGGGAAGCTTTTAATGTTTAATAGGTTATTGTATTTTAGTGTTTTGTTGGAAGCCGCCCAGAGTGGCTGGGGGGACCCAGCCAGATGGGCGGGGTATAAATGATAAATAATAATAATAATAATAATAATAACTATATAAGTGAATAAATGGATAAAACAGATAGGAATGAAAAATGGTCTTCACATTTATCTAAAGCTCTCAAGAAGTAAGGCCCATACTGCTTTAGTCAGACCTTCTATATTTATCATCAAATAGTACTATTTCTTTTACAGTCAGTTGTATCAGCCTCTAAAATTAAATCCAATATTAAAGAGGGAATTGTATGCTTTCCATGGGTGCAGCACCAGTTTGGGCTATGAAATACACTCTCGGACTTAGATCTTCTATCAGGGAGCACTTGAATAGGTATTGGGATCCAAATATCCGAAAGGGCACATCTTCCCATAGCAGCCTGTTGCCCAGGCTCCATTTAACACAATAGGACTTCTAAGTAAGCATGCGTGGAAGTGCACCATTAGTCACAACTAATTTTAGCTGGATTGAAACCAATGAATTATGCACTGTTTCTACCGCTTGAGGCCAATTTCCAATACCGAAACAGCAACCACAACATACACACCCTTCTCAGTGTTTTGCAGTTTACAACACAGATTAAGGCATTATAATAGCAGCAATGTTTCAGTTTTACCTCAAGCCGTCCCCACCCATCCTGGCTTTCCAAAGATCAAGAGTATATGTCTGTGATTGGATCATGCGGTTTTCAATGTGCTTGACATTGTCCTGGCTTGACACCTTGCTTTACACACACAGCCTCTTCATAGGCATCAGCATTTTATTATCACTATCAGTCAGCCATCCTAGAAGCCTTCCAAGACTTATTACCTTGAACTTTTTTTTTTGTAAAATACCAAAATATTGTTATCTATTTATTATATTGTTATATTTCTGTAATTATGCAACTATTTTCATGTTGTAAACTGCCTTGAGCATGGTCAACTATGGAAAGGCAGCACACAGTTAGATAGCGAGGTCCTCTAGTTTCAGATACATGCAGCTCCAGATGAACTGATCTGCCATTAAAGTGAAATAAAAAAGTATCCGGCCCTTAGGCTTTCACAAACTTCTCCTCAAAACGGTCTCCTCAAAACTGACTCCTGCTCTGTTTTCTAATGCTGATTTTTAATATATAATTCTAATGACTCTGAAGAGGTGGCAAGACTTTGGGTAGTTTGTTGGGAAGATCAAATACTGGGCTCAGCTGAAGCTGAAAATATCACTTTGGGCAAACAGAGATTCCTTTCCTTGGCTATATGAGAAAGTATAACACAGGGCAGAGACAAGAGTCTCATATCACACGGAAAGAATAGGGTTGATGGCTGAGGACTTGCAGTATCCATTTAAGCTGCATGTTAACAATGCAAAGGCTAGGAAATGAAATGCAGACTTATGAAGTGATACATTTCTGGGGTGACTTTTTTTGTTGAACAAGCTGCCATTCCTGTTCTCCGTGTTCTAATGAAATAGATATGTAAAGCAATTCAAATGATTCATTCAATAAGGTGGAGAAACACAGCATTTGCCCAACAAAGGCAACTCATAAAGGTTAGGCTCCAGGGGTCCAAGAATATATGCAAAAAGACGTAAAACCAGGAACCCCTGGAACGAGTCCCCTGCAAAGTGAAGGGCTGCTTGCCCTGCTTTGGGTAGGTGGTGGGAGGGCTTTGGCAGCAACCCAGAGTCCTCCAACCTCCTTCCCAAAGCCTGGTAAGTTTTTGTCCAGCTACAGGAAGGAGGCTTGAGGGCTCCAGAATGTTGCCCGTGATTGCAGCTTTGAGCAGGTGGGGAGGATGACATTCTCCATTTACTTACTTATTTCCTCCCACCTGTGCAAAGCTATGATCACATAAGTAAAATAAGCATAAGTTGCAAGTTAGCTGCACACGTGTTGGTGTTTAGGACAAGCCAGTTTTGAGCCTCAGGGAATACTTGTATGATCACATAAACATGCAAGTTCTTTGGTTACTCGTATGTTGTGGGCAATCCAGATGCCCATGGCTCAGCAGTTACCTCTCTGTTCATTGTGGGGATAGCACATTCCCCCAGTGCTCAATATTGCAACGCTATCCCCAAAACCCTCTTCCCTGTGCTATTACTGCCAAGTCAAGCGTAATCTGAAAGGTGCCGGTGGGAATGTCATAGAAGCCTATTGGCCAGTATCCCTACCACCATTCATGTCACAGGCGTAATTCCATAGGTTCCTTTCACTCCCCAATGTTTTGTAAAGGTTATCTTTAAAAATCCCTTGATGCATAAATAGAGAAATGTATTCTGCATACGAACAAATAGCGTAATCTAGATTGGACCTGCAAGGTTGGCCCACAGTCTCTTCCCGGTGGATCTAATTATTACCTATTTATTTGCAAGCACCACACAATTGGACAAATTTGAGTTAGAACCACTGTGCGGCTCCCTTAAAAAATGAGTACCACATCTGTTTAATATTGGTATCAGTTTGAAATGAGACCAACAAACTTTTCCTCTTTCCTTCCACATATCCTTACTCCCCATCCCATAATGTTTTTAAGCATGCATAAAAATGGAAATTTGGACAGAAGTCCATGTCAAGATTCTCTTAGTGGAAACTGAGCTTCAGTTGTACTCCATGCATTTTTCTGTCTCATCGGCTGCATACAAATCCAGTAAAATTCCACGAGCTTTGCTCAGATTTATTTTTTAAACAAAAGTTTTAGTTTAGGCGACATGAATAATACTTATACAAAAATCCAATAAAGTATTGCATTGCATAAATAAAGGGTTTTAAGAGTCAGATTTATATACACGCTTACATTAGTCAAATTAGAAGGTACACCTTGTAATAGAAGCTCCTACTACAAGGAGAGGGGGGGGGAATGTAACAAACAAATGTTGACATCATTTCACTTAATTTAGAAAGCTCATGGTTACCAACCTTTTTACAACAATCAAGCCAAAAAGGTTGAAAGGGATACAGCAGTAGGCGTAAGAGTGAGGGGGGAAAGACTGTATCACAATCTAGAACAAAGTTCTATTGCTACATTTATGAAAGAGGTTGCACTGGTTTATTTCCTAGTGGGTCATAACACACATACAGTACTGCCAAAATTAGTGTCATTAAAGTCTTCCTTCTCCTACTTACACTACCCTGTTAATTGTTTTTGAATATCAGGTTTAGATGTGAAAAAATGTACTGCACTGGGAATAACAAAGACATGTCATCAAAATTTATAGTTAAAAAAACAAAAAAACCTTGTTAAAACCCTGCAGATCTCTGGCAAGAAAGTGCTATTCCTCGTAATTGGCCTCTAAGGTCTTTTAATTTTAAAAACCCCCAGGCCAATTCACTTCATGCATTTTGTGGAACAAAATTAAAATAAAATAAAAAGGAAGAGCCAGGGGGTAAGGGGGGCAAAAACGAAGTATTAAAACGGGGTAAAAACAGACATGGGAAGCAATGAAAATATCCCGTTATGCCACACGGTATGCTTTCAAGAGCGTGAACTCCTTCCTGTTAGTACGCGCAGCCCAGATGAAAAGGGCAGCAGCCATAAACTGCAGGGGTGCTGAGACACAGGCCAGACAGAAGGACCAGCCGAACTGGCCTTGCACCTCTTCTGGAGGGGTTAGCTTCTGGTGGAGCAGCTCAATTCCAGCTACATAGCAGCCAACTGAACCCAGCGTGCACAAACCTGGAGAAGAAGCAGCAAGTATATTTTGGTCAGACTTACAGCACCTAATTCTTGGCTCACCGTGTTAAGATATTCACGTTTCAACACTGAATACATGGGATGAAGTTTGCCAAGAGGACTCACCCGCTAGAAAGTGGAGGACTCCGGTGGCAATGGCGGGGTAGAGACTGCGGCAGGCGCAGGCACAGACCCCAATGAGAGCCCCAAAGCACATCAGCCCAAGGCTAACAAAAGGCAGGAGGAACTGCAAGCGCCAAAGATCTAAAGGAAATAGGGAGAGGAACATGATTGGGATGTTCCAACTTTAGGGCCTTTCACTCCAATCTCATGGTGCAAAATGCATTGTTTCCAAGACAAATGGAGAGTAGTTCAATCTACTATCTAGTTACTTAATTGTGGCAGAGCCCAAGAACTCTAGCTTTTTGTCCGAACTAAACAGTACAGAAATACATCACATAATAAAACAACATTGAATTTTGCAGAGTATAACTGCTAAATAAAAGACTATGCTATATGTATATATAAGAATCCCAAGTAAATTACCAGAGCATCATAAATGACCTGAGCTGCAATACTAAACATACTTTTCATGGGAGTAAGTCCCGTTCAACTCAGTGGAACTTACTTCTGAATAGACATGCACAGGGCTGCACTATTGGCCGACTTTGACAAGGTAGCATACTTTCCATTTATCCACATTTGATGAAGGCAAACATGTCTTATGGCCAAGTTAAAACATGTCTCGAGTATTTCTCAATCCTATGTCTATTCAGAAGCAAGTCCCACCAGGTTCAATGGCTCTTACTCTTTGGTAAGGTGGGCAGAGGACTGCAGCCTCAGATACATTTTATCTGCTACACAAAACCAAAAAAATACTTACAGGTCCGGTTCAGATCACTGCCACTATTGTGATTCCCAGGATCCTTATATTTTTCCATGAACTGATCCGAAAGGGAAAAACTGACGCACCTTGTGACCATCTCAGCTTCCAAAATGAAAAAAGAAATAACATTTATTAGGATCTGCTTTGCTTGACTGTCATTCTTCATTCACGCGCATGCATATATCTGGGTTAACTAGGTGTGGTGGGGAACCTCTGGCCTGTGAGGCCTCATCATTTGGCACACAAGGCTGTTTCAGTCAAGTCATGCCCACCTGATGCCATATATGATGTCAGGTGTGGGGTAGGTAAAGGCCTGATTTAGCCAAATGAGGTGAGGTATATAGGTACCTGCAAAGCCCTGTACAAAGAGGCTTCCCAAGACCCAACAACCAGCTGATTGCCAGTTTTGTGGAACACTTTGAAAGGTGCATTGCAGGCTGTGCATTTGCCTGCATGGTTGGATTTCAAACTCTGGAGGCAAAAAAAGGAGTCTCCCGATGTCATTGTGACATCACTGACAGTTTGGTGGCCCCACCCCATACAACAAAGCATATTGCAGCATTTTAAGAAGGAACAGGTTTACGGTTATAGGTTTATAGCCTCTAAGGCACTATCAAGACTCTTGATTTACAACAATGATGTTGAGGAATGGAAGGAAGGAAGATACTGGCTGGAGGGTGGGGGCAGCTGCAAGGACTGCAAATGATAAGGCCAAAGGTTACAATAAGGAAACCCAGCCAGATGGGCAGAGCATAAATAATAAAATTATTGTTGTTATTATTATTATGCAGCACGCAGGTTGCCCAACTCTGGTACTAACTTCCTAAGTACTACACTTCCTCTTACATTATTATTCAGCAGCTGGCACTGATCTCCAACTTTTTAAACTTGGTATTGTTCTCAAAACTATTAGTCATTTCCTCAGAAGACTTGATAGACTACTTCAGAGACAAACTAATAATTTTAAGGTCCTAAGAGCAAGCCTAGATTTAAATGATGGAGGTACTTGCTTAGAAGATACAATTAAAGTTCTCTCTCAGGCAAATTTGTGCATCTTAAAACTGAGAATTAACAAAAAAAGGGTGGGGGGATATGTCTGCTCAAGCGGGACCTGATAACCTAATCAATTTATTCATGCACCAGTGCTTTGCATTCAAATGATCCCTCAGGAAAATGGCACTAAGAGAAAGACACATTTAGAGACACTTTCTGAAGTAGGTTTACTTGGTGAGTTGAACCAGTAAGAGTTCTCAGCCATCGTGATGCATCTCCGCCATAGTCCAATGGTGCCGTTCCATCGAAAGAGAGCTTCTGTATAAGACTTTTCATCTTCACCAGTGAAATCATCCCAAGTGGCCTTAACTTCACTGTAATTTTCGGGTGGCGATGAGTTGCGGTACTCATACCAAAAGTCCGTGCCAATAGAGGCTGCCAGGTAGATGGTGGAGATAAGGCTAAGCACGCAGGCGATTACCAGAGCAGTGGCAAAACGGTTATCCATCATAGTGTCTCAACTGCAATTGAAAAGAGTAAAAAGCAGAAAGTTTCCAAACATGAAATTTAACTGAGTTAGGAAGACACGTGTTCCTCTGGCTCCAGCCAACCACTTTCACATGCGTACGCCAGCTGTTCCTTTCATTGCTTACTTGCAACATCTGTTCAATTTAGCAATTAAAGCAACTTCAGAACATCCCCTCCTGTAAAATTCTACTCATTGAACTGTATCTGGGTTGAGCATAAAAAAGGACTGAACCAGAAAACAAAATGATTAACATGGTTCCATTCCAGATTATTGCCACAAGAACTCAGGCACTCCCAAAACCACAGAGTCTCAAACCAAACCAAACAAACAAACAAACAAACAAAAAAGAGTCTGGCTTTTTCCTCCTCCCTTTCTATTCTTTTTCCTTTTGTGCCATGTTTCAGATTATAAACCTGAATACTGTTTTATCATTGATTTTTGCAAACTGTTCTGGTGGCCTTGGAGTCTCATGAGTGAGGTTAAAATCATTAAAATAAACACACACATGTACATTATTGCATATTAATTCTGTCTGCTCAAATCAGGTACCTCTGAGCTGCAAACTGTTACTGCTATAATATTATGCTGTGCATACGACTTGATGTATGAAAATGGAGGCAGGGCTTAAGAGATTTGGAAGGACATGCATGTAGAAAAAGCAGTCAATACAAGTGATCTTCCGAACAGACCCATCAGTTGAGCCACCCATCCTAAGACAGAGGAAGATGCAAGCAGATTGGTCTATACATGTAATCAGTTACCGGTACATTTTCTGTTCTTCCCTGGAAAGCTTCATAAGACTGACTTTAATAGTAAAATAACAACTTTTAAAATATTGTACAATGAAATACGTCGCATTCCAGCTGGTGGCTGTGACCATGATAAACTGAGGATATGATAATTATTTATTGAAATATGGAAGTGCAAACCAACAAAATAATACAATATAACTTTTGTGTAGTACTTTAGAAGGCTGAACACAATTCCATTACCTCCTTACGACAGTATTATCTCCCTAATTTGTAGATGAGGGGAATAAACAAAGGCTTGCAAAAGCTACCTACTGTGTTTCTAGCAGGTGAGATTTGAACCAGTAATGTCCATGCTGACAGCTCATATGGACATAGAACACACAAAAATGTGGAATGTCTCTGTAAAAACACACACTATTAAATTCTCTCATTTTTCTCAAGTATCTAAACTTCCTTTCAAAGATGTCAGTGTTGCAATTTCCTCGGTCACAGCTGTTTCCTTAGTTTTTATTCAAACGTATTTTAGCATTAATTTTTGTATTAAGAGAATACATTAGGGGGCCTCAGACTCATAAGCTCCCTCCCTTTGGCCTTGTCATGTGGAGGAGTTAAGTACAGAAGCTTTAGCTTCTGTTTTAGTTTAAACACAGCTTCTTGTGCTGTCCAGTCCTTCGCAAACTGTAGCCGGTCTTGATTATGGCTTGCAGAAACAAAGAAACTTCAAATCACAGTTTATGAAGCTGGCCTGTTCCAAATACAGTTGTACCTTGCTTTTCGAGCAGAACATGTTCCGGAAGTCTGTTGGACTTCCGAAACATTTGGAAAGCAAGTCACGGCTTCCAGTTGGCTTCTGATTGCACAAGCGCGCCAGAAACAATAGCAGAAGCCACATTGGACGTTTGGCTTCCAAAAAAAGTTCAAAAGCTAGAACACTCATTTCTGGGTTTCCATCGTTCGAAAGCCGAAACGTACGAGTACCAAGGTGTTCGACAACCAAGGTATGTCTGTAGCTAAACTGTAGCTAAAATAAAACGAAAGTACAGTGGTACCTCAGGTTAAGTACTTAATTCATTCCGGAGGTCCGTTCTTAACCTGAAACTGTTCTTAACCTGAAGCACCACTTTAGCTAATGGGGCCTCCCGCTGCCGCCACGCCGCCGGAGCACAATTTCTGTTCTCATCCTGAAGCAAAGTTCTTAACCTGAAGTAATATTTCTGGGTTAGCGGAGTCTGTAACCTGAAGTGTATGTAACCTGAAGCGTATGTAACCCGAGGTACCACTGTAGAGGCTTCCAATCTCCTTGCAATTGCGCTGGAAGAGGGAGCATAAGAGTCCCAAGGATTGATGAGAGACATTCTCTTAATGCCATAGTTTTGCTGCGTCTGAACTCAGCCACAGTATTACCAGTAGCAAAGAAATTACAAATAATCACAGTGTAAACAGGACAGCAAGCTGACTCAGGAGCGTGGCTATTTTATGGATTATCTTAGTTTGCAATGTGTTCTTTAGAAGAAAGTAAGAGTGAGAACCAAGTGAAAGCCTGGAGCATGGTCTGGAGCTTATGAAGACAATTAAAGGGAGTGCTCAAGAAAGAAGCATTTGCGCAAAGCAGCAGGTGGTTAAGAAGGTATGAGCACACAGATGAAGGTTGGAGGCAGCCAGAGCTTACCGTATTAATACAGAAGAAGTTGGTGTACAGAAAAAGGAGAAAGAATGGGAAGTCACAGTTAGAACACCCATAAATAATAAGGTTTGCAAAAGGCACTTTATATTTAGAAGATAGTAAAAACTGAATGATAAAACACTAACAGGAAGAAAAGAAACAAAAATGTTACCATTTAGATGAAACTAGTAGCAAAGATAATCCGAGCTCAAAAAGTAGAGAGTCAAAAAAACATGCTCGCCAGTGGCTTAGGCAGAAAGTTAAAAAGATTAAATCAAAGATATTGGGATACCTACGGACCCCCAGCCACAGACTCAAAACCATGAATAAAACTTAACTGCCACAAACCTGTGCTACCAGGCTGAAGTCAATCATGCTGTTTATTGGAAAGTTTATTCAATCTAGATAGAGATTGTCATTAAGACGATGTTGATAGAGGAAAATCAAAGTTGTGCAATTATACTAACTGGCATTCACCCAATGTCAGTCAAGTGGGCATATTTAATTAAATCACAGTAGACAAAATTGTTTTGAATTGTAATGGGTTCAAAACAGGCCCCAATTATGTGGCAAAAGTGGCACATGAATCAGCAGTACACATATACTGTATTCCAACAAGAGCAACATTGTGTTTTTTGGCAGAAATGGTCACATTCACCACTATAAAAACGTATGTATGTACCATAAGTTTTCCAAGTACTTCCTCCACATGATTCATGTTCAGATAAGATCCCCATGTGCAGAAACAGAATAAATCTCAAATAGAACATATTTTCAACTGGCAGCCCAACTCAATACATGTTTACTTGGAAATGAACCCCATTCATTTGAATAAATCTTAATGCCAAATAAGGAATTTTGATTGTTTGAAACATTCCTTCTATCTCACCAAGAAAAATATTGTGGTGTGGAGATTTCCTCTGCTGAAAGGTGAATACTTCAGTGTTCCTACAGAAATCAGGACTGAAGAGTAGCTCAGCAGCTTTAACAAGTATTATTTTCACAACAGTGTCCTCAGGGTACTTAAGTTGTTAAAGGCGGTTTTTTGTTTTATTTGGATAAGAAAGAAGCAAATTGAGTCTGGTGCAAGACAATCACATTTTGTCTTTAACACAAGCTACTCAACAATCTTGATTGGGGGAAAACAAAACAAATTGGGCAGGCAACACCCAAACCTAGGACAGTCTAGTAGTATTTCTAAAGCTGAGCATGTCACAAGCATAGGATATGTACTATGGATTTCCACCAAGAGACAAGATTGACTTATGAAGTCTGCCTATCTTAAATTTAGGAATTGTCGGGGATAAGATCACTTTGTATTTAAATAAGATGTCAGGGTATACATTCTCACACTGAGGTTTAACCAAAACCTTTCTCAATTCTTACTAGTAAAGATGTATAAAGAGGAAATATGGAAACAATTATTTTAAAAAAATAAATTAGGAAAATGAGAAAATAATTAGAAACCAGACCATTTGTAACACAGCACTTTTATCTTGCCACATCTTTGGCTCAAAAATGGGTCAGGCGACTGGTCCTATCCACTGGCTAATTCTGTTAGGATGATTCCATTGTTAGCTCCAGAGTTTTACAAGGGTAGTGGAAACAACACTTCCTTTGATAGATACCAGCATCCGAGGGCACAGATTGTCAGTGGGGAGGAACACAAAGCCCATTCATATCCGATTTTGTTGTTTTCCTCAATTATAGTACCAAGAGGGATCACGACCACCAGCGAGAGCATCATCTCAGGCTACAATACCGGGGTGAAATGAAACGTTCGCCCAGGTAGACACATATACGCTCACAACAAGAGAGATTTCCCAAAGCAGAAGCCTAATCCCTTTTTCATGGGCGGGCTGGAGGGAAAGGGGGGTGACACACCTTTCTCTGTTTCCCCTCCTCCATCCTCATGTTATATATATAACTCCACAGCTGCAGTCTGATGCACGCTAAAATGGGAGTGAGTCCTAGTGAGTAAAGCGGGACTGCACTGCACCTTGGAGGCAAGATGCGCATTCCAGGGAGTGTGTAACTAGGGGTGTGTGTGGTGGGGGTCATTATTACTACATTCTCATCACTATCAGTAGTAGTAGTAGTATTAATAATACTAATAATAATAATAATGGACAGCTGCCTGCAGACTCTGTCGAACTGCAGGGCTGAACCTGCCAGCGTTGCGGGCAGGGTGTGTTTGGTGGGCAGATGGCTTTCCTGCTTCTTGGAGATGCCCATCAAAATATAAGCCACGGGTCTCCCGCACCTCCATGGACTCTTTCCGGACACCCCCCAACCCCAGTACTATCCCACTCATGAATTCCGGGTGAGGAAGGGAGCCGGGCCCGTCCATACTCACCTCCCATCCTCCTCCCGACTCCACGGCGCCGCTTCCACCACCCACCCTCGGCCGACGCTTAGCCTGGGGACGGGGGAGGGGTCTTTTCCTCCTCCCTCCTCCTCCTCTCTCGGAGACGCTCATCCGCCCCCGACCGCCAGGCACCCTGGGAAATGTAGTTCTGGCCGCATCGACGGCGGCGCTCCGCTAAGAAACCAAGGTGGGAGGCGCTTTGTTTGTTGGCCCGAGATCTTGAGGAGAGGCGCTTTCCATTTGCATCCTGGATATTGTAGTCTCGCTGACCAAAGGCGCTGGAATGCGGGGAGGTTGCTTCTCAATGGACAAACTGCTTTCAGTTCTTAATTCGGTTCAGCGTTCAGTTGCCGCCGCGCCTCTTCCTGCCATGGTTCCAGTGCCTTATATATAGTGCTAGCCTTTCTGTACTTATCAGAAGTAACGTAAATTAAATCAAAGGGGGCTTTCTCCCAGGTAAGGGCTGCAACCTTAAGGGCGTAAGGTATTTTGGAGTTTCACCAAAACACAAGCATCTCTCATCCCTTTGGAAACATGTTCACCTGTTGAACTCCTGGCATAGGAACTCTGCCAGTGTTGTGTGTGTGTGTTTTTAAGGTGGCAGCTGTCCTGGCATGTAAAAGACGTCACTTTATTGCACTTATAAAATATGTTTATAGAATGCTTTAAAATTGTTGTTACTTACCGCACCCCCGAAGCTCGTGCCTATCAAGTTTATAATGTAATAGAATATAGTACTGCATTTGGATAAATTCACATTAAAATGCTGATGGACTTTTTTTTTTTTTTTTGCAAACTAGTGTGAAAATGTGTGGAGCTGAAATTAAGGCAGTAAAAATGAGAAAAAGAAAACCAAAATTGACAGATTCATTCATCCCTACCTAAGAGCAAGGCCCATAGACCTCAGTATACACATAGAGGATTACCATACTCACCAAAGCTGTGTTCTACTACTGATTGCTGGTTCTTTCTTCAGCTCTCAGAGAACTCAGTGTGTGAGAGAAATGACACATACCAGGTTGCTAGGGTTTATCTTCTTATGATGTTTTGGAATTTGATGGGCTTTCACTGAGTACTCATATGCTTACCATAATCTAGCTAGTCTTGCATGACAGGAATAGAGATGACATCTCCCTGATAATGCAAGATGAGATGTGGCATAACAGGTTTTACCTTGGCACAATTTTATTTACAATTTTCTTGGGAATCTGTCTAGAACTTTTAGATAGGTTCAATAAAGTAGCATTCTTGGAGTAACAAATTACAATACGTATGTGTCCCCAGTTGTTATGAAGCGTAGTTCAAGTAAAGGCATAGATGGCTCTGTAGAGAAGTAGCCCAGTGGTTCTCAATTGTTTTTCTCTGGGCCACACTTTCAGAATAAAAATTTGCTTGTGCAAATGGGGAGCAGGTGCCGATATACTTCCTTGCCAAGGGTGCAAGGGGCCTAGATATAGCTCTGTCAACAAAAAAGCTTCTATTTTCTGATCTTTCATATTTCTCACAATTGAAAATCTCTGTTCACAACAATATGTCATGGAGAACTGTAGAAGAATAACCAGTGCTCCTGAAGAAAGGCATTGGATACTGTTTCTGGTTGTATTACCCCCCCCCCCCATTGATAGTATACTGCACTGAAATGCTTAAATGTTTTTTTTTATTGTCCTTGAATTTTCCTGCCACATTTGCTATCCTCTTCTGCCACCCAATTGTGGCACACCACACCCTTTGAGAACCACTGCCATAGTCTCTCCCTCTATGGTTACTCAAAGAAAAGACAGTTCACATACAAATTAAACAGAGTTTAAAACAAGGTTGCAATCCTAAGCATCCTTTTGTTAAAGCCATAAAAATGAACAGGACTTTTTTCAAATAAAATCTGTTTATGATTGTAGCATGAATGCAAAATATCCTTCTGTTTCTCAGTGAGAAGTCTTAATCTGTGGGGCAAAGCTCTACCATCCCATAAATTCATTTTCCTTCTCCTGTGACCCTGATATATATTTTTTCTCGTGCTGCAACTAACAGGGTGGACCAAAACTTGAAGTGAAGAAAAGAGTATTTAAATGCTTCAGAAAAGATATAAGAGCAAGATACTGTTTTTAAGAGCAATATAGAATAAAATCTGACATTAAAGGTCAGGTAGAAGTTTTAAAGCACATCTTTGTTCGCAAGATTTTGCTGCTGTCAGAATTGAGAAGGCGTTGGACATTCATTCTACAAATAACAGCAACATGTCAATTGGTAAAGCTTGCGGGAGTGGAACCCTCCCAAGTTTAGAAACACAGATTAGACAAGCTAACGGTTATTTAAATAACAACCCACCCTGACGAACTGAATTCACCACTTTCTTACTTCTGCTAACCATCTATAACCTCAAAAACCTCAACTAATAAATTGTATTTACAAAGAAACTTAAACCTCTCCCCTCCCCACTTCCCAAAATTTCAAGGAAACCCACCCTACCATATTTTACGATCAAAGCTGCCTGTATAAGCATGCTGGTTGGTCAAATCAAACCAGGCCCTCCCATTCTGTGCTAGACATTTAAATGCCTAGTCAGAGATTGATATGTTGTACGTCAGATTTTTCTGATCATCTGGAAGAAACTGAAAGGAAAAAAGACGAGAACTGTCATCTGTAGTGCCAAAAAGAACATAAAAGTGCTGAAAGCTTCTTCGCACAAATCATTTTTGAGATGGAGAAATCAACTTCTAGCTATGATTACTATTTCTACACAGATTCTCCTGAAGATAACTGCTCAGCTGTGGAGTTGCCTTACAAACACATTTTCCTGCCTGCTCTCTATACCATTGTATTCCTGGTGGGGATTGCTGGCAATGCCCTTCTAATAGGAGCGCTAATCTTCAAACGGCAGGTTCAGAGGCTAATTGATATCTTCATTGTCAACTTGGCAGTGTCTGATTTTATATTCCTTATCACATTACCCTTTTGGGTAGACAAAGAGAGGACCTCGGGACTTTGGAGATCTGGCTCTTTTCTCTGCAAAGGCAGCTCCTACACCATCTCAGTCAACATGTACTGCACCGTCTTTCTCCTCACTTGCATGAGTAGCGATCGGTACCTGGCAATCATGTACCCATCAGTGGCTAGGAGGATCAGAACAAAGCTGTATTCCATCATCCTTTGCACTTGTGTCTGGATTCTGTCCTGCCTACTTGGGTTGCCAACCCTTCTGTCCAGAGAGCTGAGGAGATATGACAACAGCACATATTGTGTGGACAAGGAAATCACATCCACGCACTGGATTGGGTCGCTGCTTCTTCTAATTTTGGCGTTCTTTGTTCCTCTGTTCATCATCTTGACTTTTTATTGCTCCATCACCAAGAAACTCTGTGTGCATTATCAGAAATCTGGAAAACATGATAAAAAGCTGAAGAAATCCATCAAAATTGTCTTCACTGTAGTGATCATTTTTGTTTTATCTTGGGCTCCTTTCAACATTTTTAAGTTTCTAGCTCTGATGTCTGCAGTCCAGGAACTGAAGCCACCTTTCTGCCTTCCCTACAAAGTTGCCCATATCGGTATGGAACTGAGTGGCCCATTTGCGTTTGCCAACAGCTGCACAAACCCTTTCATCTACTACTTCTTTGATGACTACATCCGTAGGGCAATGATGCAATGTATAACTCCGTGCACAAAGGCCAACAACTTTGGAACCAGTTCTGATAGCTCAGACACTCGCCTTAGCTACTCCTTGACTGCGTTTGCTCACAGGGAAGATGTTTCTAGGAAGAGAAGGAGGTCAGTATCATTCTGACAAGAGTCATAATTCTGAAAGATCCAGTGTCTCCATGTCAACAGTAAGATCAAGAGAAGGAGGTAATGGAAATGTAAGAAAATGAAAAGATTAGAACAAATCAAAAAAGTTAATTGACTGTAATATGACAGTAAATTGTATTTCATAAAATGGCATGTTTCTTATCTTAAACCATGTAGCCAATTACAAAGTTCAGTTGGAATATAGTCTGTAATATTAGCAGACTTGAAGGTTATTAGGCAATTACACCAAGAGGCTTACCAACCAATAAGAAACAAACCATGGAAAACCTTAGGTCAATATTCTGCTGTTCCATAATTCTGCTGTACAATATTGCAAACTCAGAGCAACCAAACCAATTCATACCTGCCTCTTTTATAAAATCTTATTAACATAGAAAAATTAGTTTAGAATGCATTTTTTTGTTATATGCTGCATCTTTCCTTGTTAAATGCTATAATACTGAATTGTTCAGGATTCTTTTAAAATCTATACTTTTTTTGTTTATCTGCATTTTCAACTCTGTGTCTGCACTATTACATGTAAAAACTATTTTAGTTTAACACAATCCTATGTATACTTGAAAATGTAAGTTGCATTGTGCCTTGATAAGAGTACATAGGATGACAACCTTAAATAATGCTGTTATAATAATTTTAGAGGGGGTTTTGAAAGAATTTCTAAAGAAATATATACATAAAATATGTTGTCCTTTTGTAAATCTCATTCTCATTTGTGTAAAATGGTACAATAAGTATTGGAAATTCAGTTAAAATTTCACAGGAAGAATAAAAAATATTCAGCACAAAAAAGAACTCTTCAGACAATTATAATCTGTTGACTTAGATCATTTGCTGGGAGATCAGTACTAGATATTTCTCTTGATCTCATGCATGACTCATGATTGAGGATAACTGATTTCTAGAATAAAAGACGCCTATGCTCACCACTAATTTTAAGTATTGAGTTTCTTTAATGTTTTTTCATTCAACTTACCATCAGAACAAGAACTTGTTATTGATGTTTAGTCGTGTCCAACTCTTCGTGACCCCATGGACTAGAGCATGCCAGGCACTACGCTGTTTAATTAACCATATCTGCCTCTCAGATACTGAACACTGCCTCCCTTCAATAGCAGTTTTAATTTCTGAAACTTCAGGAAAGGTGAACATGTTTTAGAAATTTGTACATTAGCTCTGGAAATCAGTGTGATTTTTTATTTTTTTTGCAAATGTAAATTTTAAAAGTGTTTTTTTAAAACTGGCGTTTTTCTTTTCACTAAGAAGAATAAACAATTAAGTATATGAACTAAAAAAAGTGTGCCTGTTGATTTCATTTGATCACTCTGTGAATTTACTTTTCTTCTCTTGAAATAAAATATAACTGAAACACTGCATTTGCTTGGTAGAAGATTTCTAAAAATATTATTATGATCATGATGAAAAATAATCCAAGTTAAACTAA